CAGCATAAGGACAGCAATTCATCTTAACATATTATGGATTGAATTTCATGGAATAATTCATTACTTAACATTAATTTGTTTTTGCCTCTAAATGCATGGTTACAGTGGAAAACTTGACGCTGAAGTATCTCGTTAAAGTTAAAGATAATTTCTCCTTATGGGCAAGTTTAAGAGAGGAAAAAACAACCATTTCTGCCAGTGATTTTGAAGGTTACCTACCGTTTTCGCTACATTTTCGTCTCCGTGGTCTATTTTAGATGAGACAGTGTAAGATAAAACTTGGCTGTAATTGAAGAGAGGCTTTTTCCAGGAAACCTCTAAACCGAACTGACCAGTCTGAGGTAGCAAGACGAAACTTTCCAAGACCAAGGTTTGCACTTTAATCTGGGACGGATCAGGGTCTTTTTAACAAAAATTAATCCATGATTAATTAGAAATTAAGCAAAAATATTTTATCTAAATGAACACTCCAAATGAAAAGGATAGTGAAAGAAGCGATAACCTTTTAGTAACTTAGTGAGTTAAGATCGAGGTTTAAGAAGGTGTTGGCGGTAATTTTTTATTCACAAGTCTGCGAACGTATCATTTTCGGGAAAATTGTTTGAGCTGACAGTAACAAGTATTCATTTTCTTACCTGGAGTAGATATTAAGATAGTGTTACTAGCGCTTTGTGGGGCACCATCCTTAAAAATAGTCCAAACCTAAAGGGATGAAAACAATAGAATTTCTTGTTACCATTGTCAAGACAAGGAAGTTGTGCAAGTTTTGATATTTGCATATTTTTAGGATTGTTTTTATTAATTGTTTTTAATTGGAAAAAATGCATTCCCAGGAAACAAAGAATCCCGCCACTGATTCACTTCGTATTCGAGTAAACTCCATCAGTCAATCAGCAAATCATCCAATCTGCTATGTCGTTCCCCTTGCAATAAACTGAAAACTTTGCCAATTTGAAAATACTATCTTTCGTTATGTTATGCTTCAGGAACAGAAAGTCTAAAGGTTACATAGGAAACTCACTCTCCTAGCTTGCGCAAAAAATTATAAAAAAAACAATGGCTAGGAGAGGAATCCTTACCGTTATGTTAAAACTTTGAGCATGTGGTAATGACTTGATTGAATATGACGTTTCCTTGAAAGAGGTGGAGAAATTATATATCAGTGTTAGAGTTTGATAAAAAGCTATTTTAACCAAATTTTCCCAGAGTATCCCGTCGCTTTGGTTACCCTTCCCCATTCTTCTCCTCCCTTCGAAGATAGTTGGTGATGAGTTCGTTCATTAACTATCAGCCGACTTAAGCTTGCGGAATATCTAACATTCTTCCACTTCTGGTGATGGTTCAAGATCTAGCTAGCGCGCTTCTTCTGCCCCTTTAGTTGACACATCCCCACAATTTCTTTTCTGTATGTACTTACATTAGTGTAACCATATTTGAAGATAAGGTAGTACTCTACTGTCTTGTGGGGATACAGAGGAGGAAGCCATGTCAACCTCGCAGTAAATCTGAAGCCGTCTTCAATAGCAATCAGACTGGAGCTGAGGTTACGAACTTGTCTATCCTTTTCTGGGGATTCAGGAGGATCGACTGTAAAATAAAGACATTACGGCAGTGAAAATTTGGTATGCAACACAACATGAAAAATAAATGAAAACTTTTGAACGTACAAATCATGTAAGCTGTTGGCGTTCAATCAAATGAAGAAGGGTTCACAGGTGCTCTCTTAATAAGCATTCAGCAATGGTACAAAGTAATAGTTATTCTAAAAGTTTTTCTTACATTGGTAGCAGAGGTCTGAGGGATAACCGGTGATATTCGCACAACCTGTTCGGTTAAAATATAGAAATCAATAGTTTTATGTTACTTTGGAGAAGTGCATCCATGACGTCACCCCATACGATTAAGGAATTGGAT